AATAATTTTTATGCCTTACAACATAGACATGGATATGCTGATAATTATTGTGCTGTGTAATATTGTGTTTAGGAAATTTGTTCACAGTAGATAATAGCAACTTTTGGATTAAATAAAATGCTCAAAATTAAGTGTTTAGTCTACTATTTTATCAGTACTTTAGAAGTCTCACTGGTAATACTTCTGATTCAAAGAATCTGAGTTTTGATTTCTTTCTTTACTTTTACATGTCAATAGAATGGATTCATTTCGTGTAGACATTTAGTTACGCTTGACAGGTACAGAGGCAATACAATGTAACATATATTGCTTGTTCATCTTAATTTTTCATTTATATATCTGCTGAACATTTGCTAACTAGACCAAATTTTATGTGCTGTCAACTACATTGTTAACATTTGGAAATATGTTCTACTATTATTCTGTCTAAAGTTTCTTCTTTGTTTTTCCCCTACGTTTTATCTGTTCTTAATTCTGTCATGGCAGAATTCTGGAGTTCAGTAAAAATTGGTGGTGCATATTAGCCAACCCCAACCCCATTTTGTGCTGATTGTCTTTCCCAGCTAACTTTTGTGCCTTTATCTATTCATAGATACACTTCCTGAAACTGAAGAAGAGATTACAATGGCTCTGAAGACCACAACTACTGCTTCTTTCTTTTCCATCCGTTCTCTCTTCCTCTCCCTCTCAATCCTCTGTTCTCTCTCCGTCTTTTTCTTTTTCTTCACCAGTTCAACCCCATCACTACATCTTCAAAATCTCCAAAGCCCGTCAAGTTCCATTAAAGTCTTTGTTGCAGACCTTCCCAGATCCCTCAACTACGGTCTGCTTGAGCAGTACTGGTCCATAGACTCAGATTCTAGGCTGGGGAGTGAAGTAGACAATGAAATCAGGAAGACCCTTTTACACAAAGGTTCTCAAAAGTTCCCTCCATATCCTGAGAGCCCACTGATCAAACAGTACAGTGCAGAGTACTGGATCTTGGGTGACTTGATGACCCCTCCTGAGTTGAGAAATGGGTCTTTTGCTAAAAGGGTGTTTGATGCTGAGGAGGCTGATGTGATTTTAGTGCCATTTTTTGCAACATTGAGTGCTGAGATGCAACTGGGGTTGAATAAAGGAGCATTTAGAAAGAAGGTAGGGAATGAGGACTATGAGAGGCAGAAAATGGCTGTGGATTCTGTGAAGCAGACCGAGGCTTGGAAACACTCTGGAGGCCGTGACCATGTATTTGTTCTCACTGGTAATACCTTAAATTTCAATGTGTTTTCTTGATTGTATTTTTTAGTCTCTCATTGTCAAGTTAATGTTAAAACTTGAAGCATTCATTGGCAGACCCAGTTGCAATGTGGCATGTTAAAGCTGAGATTGCTCCAGCAATTCTCTTAGTGGTGGATTTTGGAGGGTGGTATAAGCTCGATGCAAAAGCAGCAAATGACAGCTTACCAGATATGATACAGCACACTCAAGTTTCATTGCTGAAGGATGTGATCGTGCCTTACACCCATTTACTACCTAAATTGCAGTTATCTGAAAACCAGAAACGCCCTACACTTATTTACTTCAAAGGAGCTAAGCATAGGCATAGGGTTAGTATTTTTAACTCATCAACTTTACATTTTCACAAGATGCAGTGTGATAAGCATATGGTAATGTGGTGGTTTTTATACCCCTTCACAGCATTTAAAAGTCAACAATTATCTGCACTTAGAATCCTCTTTTAATTTCAGTCCATTTGGTATGTGGAATTGTGGATGCCAAGGAGAATGTAGGCATGATTCAAATAATTATTCCATTGCTAGAACTGTAGGGTATGTCTGATTCCTTTCAGGATTCGATACATTAGATCTTAGATTCTACCCACAGGCCTCAACAGACCCAATGTCCATATCAAAACCTTCCCACATTCCCTCTTACTATTCCTGCAGTGAGTTTTCCTTCGTCAACCACCACCCTCTGGCTAGTGACACCCTTCATAACCACCAACTTTTGGGACTTGGTGTATGTGCTGCATTTTTGACATTTGCATCCTATTTTTGGACATTGCATGAAACTTCATCCATGGTACTTTGTTTCTTGGTAAAACCAATTGAATCCAGCCAGTAGCTGATCCAGAGTTTTGAATGAGGTAGCAAAATTACTGATATTAATTTTTTTCAAAAGTTTAAGTGGGGAAAAATTAGTATTAATTGAGTATATAATAGAATTTATATGATATAATTTCTCAATGTTTAGCCATAGATGTGCCCCTGAATCCAGGTTGTTTTCTATGTGCCCAATTTTTGTTTATGTTTCTACCTACAGGGAGGGCTGGTTCGAGAAAAACTATGGGACTTGCTGGTTAATGAGCCTGGAGTAGTAATGGAAGAAGGTTTTCCAAATGCCACCGGGAAGGAGCAGTCAATTAAGGGAATGAGAACGTCAGAGTTCTGCTTGCACCCAGCGGGAGATACACCCACATCATGCAGACTATTTGATGCCATCCAAAGTCTGTGTATCCCGGTCATTGTTAGCGACAATATTGAGCTCCCATTTGAAGGGATGACTGATTATTCAGAATTTTCTGTCTTCGTAGCAGTAAGTGATGCACTGCAACCAAACTGGCTTGTGAGCCATCTTAGGGGCTATTCAACTGCACAGAAGGATAGACTTCGCCGCAATATGGCTCAGGTCCAGCCCATCTTCAACTATGACAGCGGTCATCAAGGTGGCATCGGTCCCATACCTCATGATGGCGCTGTGAACTCCATATGGAAAAAGGTTCACCAAAAACTACCTATAATCAAAGAAGCTATCATCCGAGAGAAAAGGAAACCTCCAGGAGTTTCTGTTCCACGCCGTTGCCATTGTACTTGAAGCTATTATCCTATGGTACAACTAATATTTTTTTATTTATTACAGTACAAAATTTTGCCAGCTTGGTTCCCTGGGTGTGATTCTCTCCATTCTATCGGAAATTTGTCCTTGCCATCTAGAGCACTTGAACTGTCGAAAACTCAGGAATCATTCATTCCATTTCTTGCAACTGTAGATTGGACTTGCATGCTTTTACAACTCATGCCCATTATCTATGTTTTACTTGTTGTTGACACAAACTTCATTTCATGTTTTATAGCAGATTTGCTTTAAAGCTTGTGTGACAACTGACATGCCTTTCCCTCTTTTGAAACAATTGTATCATGGTAAATTTGTTATGGAAATGCCATGACCATGGTGGCAGCTCTTTGTGATGGGTGTGCATAGTTGCCATTATTACTTTATTGATTGATAAAAACATATTTTTTTTCATAACGTGATATGAAAGTGGACCAATTTTAAGAGATGTAATCATGTAAGATAATTGTAGAGATGGAGAATGAATAATGATTAATTGTAAATTTAGTGATATGATATTTTGAAAGTGATAGAATATTTTATGAGTGTAGATAGTCTTAATTAACAAACAGACATGTCAACCTCATAAATATTTGTAGTTTCCTCACTTTTGGTTGTATTACCTTCCTCTTTCTCCTTAACTTAGAAACATCCCCTAAAGTTTAAACATTACATGAGAAAGAAATTAGGTTTATAAACTTTAAAAGATATATATATATATATATATATATATATATATATATATATATATATATGTATTAGATTCTGGTGCGGTTGGCAGTCCCATGTGCGGTTGTGGAGTTAAATTTGAGCCATTGATCTTGCTTAAATTAAAGTTCATATTATCAAAATTTAAGAAAAAAACGTGGTGGTAATTTGATAATTTTTACAACTAAGTCAAATTTAAGGTGCGTGAGATTTGTGCTTAAGATACGGATTTATTTTGTATAAATTTGAGGGTTTATTTAATCATTTCTCAAATAATATTATTCTCACAAATTTTTGGGTTATTAAGGCTGCCTTTGAATTTTGAGTTTCGATGTATTTAGATTTTTGTTTTTAATTAGAGTATTTAATTGTACTGTTTGAACATGTTCAAAATCTTATTCGAAAAATAATAATAATCTAATTGAAATTCTATGTGAGTTCAAATTCAAGAATCACTATTAAGAAATAATTGGGCATAATTAAATGATAATATTATTTGTCAGCTTCATCTCTGATTTACGAAAAAGTCAGCAGTTATATTTTTGGGTGAAATCAATTATCCGACCAACTTAATTAGTATTTGTCATAATATCATCTAATTAGTTTATAATAAGCCTATCATGGGCCGTTTGGATTGAGGGAGAGAATTACGTGGGAAAAGAATTACAATTCCATGGAAGATGAATTATGTGAATAAAGTGGAAATTTAAATTACAGTGTTTGGTTTACATGAATAAAATTACCGGAAATTGTAAGGAAATAAATAGTATAACGTCCAAAATGCCCATTGTTGTTGTCAGACATCAATTTTAAGTTAAAAAAGGAGAGGCGTAATTTTGTCTCATCATTATCTTTTTTTTTTTCTTCATAAAATTCATGGAATTAAAATATCAAGGGGGCATGATATTTTTAATTTCATGAAAATGAGGGAATTGCAATTCCGTGGAATTGTAATTCCTTCCAATCAAACTAAAGAATTCAATGACATTTGGAATTATGTGAGAATTAAATGGTAATGAAATTTAAATTCACTACAACCAAACGCGCCTTTTTAATTGTCACATAAGTTGTGGCGTTTATGTAGACGCAATAAAAATAAAATTGTATTACAAAGCATATTTTGTTTTGAGTGGCGATAAAAATCTGTAATCACTATCTAATAATGCGTACTAAGTAAACTCCGTTATAAATTATATTAGTAAATCCGGATCACATGTAAAATAAGATTATAAAAAGTACATATTTTTGAGTGAAAATAAAAATCCACTGTTATTTAGTAAATCCTACTCCAAGGTAAAATATCATTATATTATTATTCTTGGGAGTACTAAATATTTTATATATACAAGTTTTATTTTATTTTCTTGCAAAGTTCCACCAAAGGGCTCCATTCATGCCTTTATATGTTTTTTTTTTTTTTTCCCTTAATTTTCTCACTGTTTCTCACTCTCCCAACTCTCATTCTTCCCTACAGATTTCGCCGACCAGCATCCGTCTATACATACAACCAGCTCGTTGTCTCCCTCTCTCTCTCTATATATATATATATATATATTTATATATATAAGCAGATACAGATTTTTTTTTTCTCGGCGTGTTTGAATTCGTTCGACCTTCGGTGATCTCTGTCAATCACTGGTACGCGAACTGTCTCTCTTTTTCTTCTGTTTTATCGCGCGGTTCTTGCTGATCATGGATCATGTGATGTCAAACCCTAGGAGATTATCCTTGTTTCGTTTTAATTGATTGAATTTCAATTTGAATGCGCTCTTTCTCTTTAATATTTGATGTAGTTCTCTGCCTGTTAATGTGTGCTGCATTTTCCTTTAAAAGATTTGCTTGTCTGTTTTTTTTGTTTTTGTTTTTTTAATTTTTTTTTTTTTATAAATGCATGCGCATTGGAGTAATGTTCCCTGCTTTTTGGGCTTGATGGTTCTATTGCTTTGTGAATGTTATTGAATACAGTCAATTGGCAGTGAGTTGTGGAATGCATTTGTTAATTTTTGTGTTGAAATGTTAAAGTGATTTTGTAATTCTATTGGTATAATTTGTAATTTATTTCCCAGCAAGGGAAGCTCTACATTTTCACTTTCATTTTTATTTTCTTTTTTCTAGTTGAAGTCCATTTTTTCACATAATTAATGGAATGCTCATCTTTTTACATAAACTTCTGAGACAGATGTTGATTAGGGAAGACTGCACCCTAAACTTATTAGGCAGATATTGGTTTTGGAGCAACTATCTATTCATAGGATATGACTTCATGATCTAAGATCCCTTTGATTCCTCAAAAAAAAAAAATCAACATTACACCCTTGTTCAGGTTGCTATCTTACATAAGCCCAGCAAATTGAAATAGATAGTGTTAGAAGGAGAAAATCTTGGGAAGTGAAAAAATGTACAATTTGTGCTTTGCAAATTCATTAATTTAAATTTAGGATTAACTTTGGACCAGTTAGGATTTTTAGTGCATAAATGTTCTTTTGATCTAGATTGATCTGGACATATCTTCATTCAATTTTAGATATAAGTATTTTTGGCTCAAAGTTGAGAGTACATATGTGCACTATTCTAGCTCTTGTTTACTTTAATGTGCAATGTCTTTCAGCCTGATTAAATGATTGAAAGTTTTGTAATGGTTTTCCCTCAAATATTGTGCTAGTATTCCTAGTAATATAGTATATCTGTATATGAATAAAGTTTCACTTTTTTTTTTTTTTTTTTTTTTTTTTGGGTAGTTGCATTTTATGAGCTATTGGCTGTTGAGGATAGATGCCAGTTGCAAAACTCAGCACTTTCGGTGCTCCAGGTGCAATGAAATCAGATGAGGGCAATGATTCACTTGATACATTCATTAGGCAAGCTATAGGGAAAGAGCCTCTTCTTTCTTTCTCAAGAACAGGGGACAGCCCTGTACAGTGGATCCAGTTACTTCATGCCTTAGATCAGCCAGGTACTGCAAAAATTTTCATATGGTCCAAACATCAATAAACTCCTAGTAGCTAAGGACCACAAATTGTAATATTCTATTATCTTGATTCCCATGCTTATTCAATTAGTAGACTAGTGACTTCTTTACATTGGACCATGGTAAATGCCTTGGGAACTTCTTTACATTGAAAAAGCACCATGTCTATACCCTGTTGCCAACTGTTGCAACTATGCAAAATCCTTGCCTGTGCTCTGGTATGGGCAAGAATAATTAATAAGCCAGGGAAATTGGGAAGCAGTATATTTGACCGAACCATCTCGTTTAGGTATACTTGACAATGTACAAGCTGAAGCCTAGGTGCTGATGGGGGTTTCTTACCTTTTTGCAGATCTCCCAGGTTGGCCTTTGCTGACGCCTTTAAAGGTTCAAATGCACAAGTGTGAGAAATGTTCTCTGGAATTTTGTTCACCTGTTAACTATCGTAGACATACACGCTTGCACCGCCGAGCCTTAAATTTTGATAAGGTCTTAATTGTTTTCCTTGGCCATCTTACTCTGATAATGTTGGTAACTGCCTTTTTGGATTCAGGAAGTTTTCCTTTAAAATAATAATAAATAATCAAGTTTTTGCTTGCTTCAATTATTAACATCCTCCTTGTAATATTATTGCTTATACCCTTTCAATTATTTATAACCTCTCTATGATATCATTCACTTTCACTTATACTCTTCAGTTATAAATAACCTCTCTATAGTTAGGGTATTCATTCTGTATTACCAGACACAATATACCTCACCCTACATCTTAGTGGGAAACTAGTAACGTGACAGATCCTTTCTACTTGAATGTCCTTGCAAATCTGATGTTATACTTGCTGAAACATACATGTATATTTTTAAATATCTAATTATCTATCTTACAATATATTCAAATTGTCCAGGAATCTCGTAAGTATAGGGATTTACTGGGAGCATTTTGGGACAAGGTAATTGATACTATTCTTCTAATATTTCCTTGTGCATGGTTATCTTTTAGTTGCAAAATGTTTATTCATGTCTTCTGCATCCAGCTTTTGTTGGAAGAGGTTAAGGAAGTTGCATCACTGGATGATGTCTCACTAAAGGTAAAAGAATGCTTTTGAACCAGATACTACAACCCCTTTCTCATGCATACTTGTACGCATGTATGTAGAGAAAATTGACATGAAAACATGGATTATTTTCAGGAAATTCCTGGGGCTTCACTTGTCATGTCACTGACTTCTTTTCTCCACAAACCAGGGGTTTGGGCCCTTCCATCAGTTTATGTGAAAGCTGGTTCTACATTGTCGGTATGACTGCTCTGTGAGATTTTTTTCTAGTTTCCTGCTTTCTATCTATTCCTGTTTTTTCCTTATTTTTATTCTGAGGATTATTTGCAGGAAATCATCCAAGCTAAACCTTCCAGGCTTCCTATCTCATCTAAGGAATTATTTAGCATCCTTGATGAAGCTAGTGAGAGAACATTTTTATGTGCTGGCACAGCAGAATCAGTGCAAAAATATATATTTGATGGAGAAGTTGCAAAAGTTGGCCTTGACTTGAAGAATTTAATTGCATGCACCTGTTTCCTCTTCGAGCAGAAACTGGTACTTCCTTCTCCCTTACACACCATTTTTTGCTTCTTGTATGTTATCTTTTATTTGCCCACTCTTATGCTTTCTATGCTTCTTTGCATGAGGGTATGGGCATTGATCCAAATGGAAGGGCGGTGCATCATTCATGTTTTATACTTTAAAATAATTTTTGCTCACTTTCTCTAGCTACTTTTATATGGACAAGCCTACACACTTCACTTAACTCTCTTGCAAAACTGATTCTGTCCTCTTACCAGCACTTAGGCTGACTGCTTTCTTTCATTATTAGGTGAAATCATGGCTTGCTGACAAAGACGCTGAGGCATTGAGATGCCAAAAGTTGCTTGTGGAGGAGGAGGAAGCTGCTCAGAGAAGGTATGGTGCATATTGTTTTGCAATTTTATAAATCTCTTTCAGGAATGCTTCTCTTAGTGCCAAGAGGACTTCTCTGGCTCACTTGAGATTTTTCTGTACTTGGGCATTTTGAGATCTTGTGAGCATTTTTATTTTATTTTTTTGTTAATAAATACCTGCTAAACAATCTCAGGCAAGCTGAGTTATTGGAGAAGAAAAGACAGAAAAAACTGCGGCAGAAGGAACAGAAAGCAAGGGATCAGACTGATGAGGGAAAAGTGGATGTCAGCATAACTGCTGATTCTTTAGATGATCCAGTAGTGGTAGAAATATCAAGTCCTCCAGCACCATCTGATTCCAATTCAAGTACTCTTGATGACATATCCTCCAGTGTTGAAATGATTTGCTTCTCAAATATAGATATAGAAATTGAAGCACAAGAAATCTCCAATGAACATTTTGGTCCAGGTACAGTTCAGAGTGTTGAACCCCTGCATGTGTCTGCAAATAATCAACGACAAATTTCCAACGGCCACTGGTGGCAGGTACAGAAATCACAGAGGGTTGGACGAAATGGCTTTTTTAGTAGTCGGGATCATCAAGCTTTGAAACCTGAACCTGTACATAAATATGCTACTCCCAAAGATCGGGGGCCTGTAGTTAATAATGGTAAGGTATGGACAAGGAAAGTCAGAGTGGAAAATGTTGAGGGATTGAGACCCTTGTTACAGAAGGAGGCAATAAACCAAACCCAGTGCGACTCTGAAGTGATAATTGGGTCTATTTCCGTTCCAGTTAAAAACAGCATTGCACGTCAACTGGAGAATAACTTAGCTGAAGCACAAGATCATTGTGGCAACAGACACTATACGTTGTCTAAGAAGCATGATGTTGCAGAAACACGAATTAGAAATGATATCACTCAGTGTAGCACCCTCAGAGCCACAAACAAGCATTGGAGACCTGTGAGCAGGCATGAAATCGGCAGATTAGATAAAGAAGAGGGACTTTCTGCTAAAGTTGATGATTGTACTGTACCCAGTGAAAATGGTCTGCAATCATGTGGTGTAGACAACGCTGAGAACAACCACTCCTGTCAGCTTTCAGATGGTAACGCACATGCAGAAGGCCTACTGATCTCCAGTAATGCCGTCAAAGCATTTCTCTCACAGAGTACGTGTCATTTTCTCCTGAATATTAAGTTCCTCATCTGTTATCCCCAATTCACCCCATCACCTACGCTAAATGCCATTTTGATGACACTCTTGTTTTGAGTTTCCATTGCTTATTACTTTAAAACCAATGTAGGATGGAAGGAGGCCATTGCAGCAGATCACGTGACATTAGTCCTTTCCCCTGATCCTGAACCTCCAGGATGCCTCAATGCCCAAAGTGACACTCCAGAGGCAACTCCTCCAACTTCAAATTTTCAAGCACACACCACTGGTAGCGGAGCCATAAGTTCATTTTACGCTGGAAATCCTAAAGGGAAATCTACAACAAAACCTGAAAAGAGTATTAAAAAGAAGTACATTCCCAAACAAAAAAACTGATATTCATGCAACAGAGAAGCATTTTGTTAGCTAGCTGCATGCTTTAAAGTTCATTCAACACACAACTTTCTTCCATTTTATTGATCTTCTGACAGAACTTGAAAATTTTAAAGGTTTTTTGTAGGAAATCGCTTATTTTGAAGAAGAATAGCTTATATAGTTATATATAGTTCAGCTCCTTTTAGCTTCCTTTTTCTCTGTGAGTTTACAACCTCATCTTGTCTAGGTGATTAGGTCTTTTTCACATCAAATATTCCTGTAATAAATGGTTTTTTTGTTCTTTTTCTTTTGGTTTCATACTTCCTTTGTGATGCCTCATGTTGCCAGCTAAATTTGTGAACACAGGATGAATCATATCCCACTCTTCACTGTATTGTCCAAATTTGAGTTTTTTTTTTTTTCTTTCACTTTTGGTCTCTCGACTATGATACCCTTCCCAAATTAGGTCTATGACTATCAAGATTATTAATTTTAGTGCATGATTATTCAATTGCTTTTACATTTCGTCCCTCAGTTCAATTTTCTGACCAACTGAGTCAAGAAAAAAGCACTAATTGATTTTTTGGTACCTTGTTTTTTACGTTTCAGCTTAACTAGCCTTATTTTTTACTTTTTGGTACTTATTTTTTACTTAGGTTGGTCAATAAATTGAACGAGATATTAAATATGGAAATAATTGAATAATCATGCACTAAAATTAAAATTTTTAATAACAGAGACTTAATTTGGAAGGAGTATTATAGCAGCAATTATACTGTGGACCGCGGTCCAAAAATGATGCCGTTTCTTTATGCGCATGTTTGGTGTATTAATTACCAACTGAAACTACATTGTATCTAAACTGACACTGTCTCACGTATTATTTCTATATTATCAAATGAAATTGCAATTGAATTGAAATGAAATTGTAGTTGTGTTGAAATGAAACTGCAGTGTATATAAAAAACGGAATAGTATTTCACATATTTGAGTGTATATTGTACAATGAAAATATAGTTATATCGAAATGATAATGTAATTGTGTTTTAATGAAACTATAGTGTATATAAAATAAAATTAAATAACATTTTCACATATTTGAGTGTATAAATTTCAAATAAAATTGTAGTTGTGTTGAAATGAAACTGCAGTATATACAAATTGAAACTGAATAACAGAGTTATTTTTTGCGGAACAGCACAAGATGGGTATCGTTTCTTTTCATTAAACAAAATGACGTCGTTTAGAAGTTCGGTGCATAATCCTTTATGCACCGCGGTGCACGATATAATTTGCTAGTATTATAGTCGATGAACTAAAAGTGAATTTTTGAAAAATGTTCAGTCAGGTCTATGTATCACCGTCCACGAATGAAGGAACTAATGAAATGATGGAAAAAATTTTATCAAAAATTTTGAATGCACTTATATTGTGGATCACTGATAAATATTTATTATGGATTTATTTTTAAATAGTATGGATCACTGATAAATATTTCTTATGGATTTGTTTTTAAATAGTATCTAAAAATGAACATTAAAAAAAATAAAAAATCATATCATTATTGGTCACCCTCGTATGAGAAACAAGCCAATAGCCGTTACTATAATAGTGGAGGGAACTCCAAATTTGAGATGGCTCCAGAAGGATAAATTGTAGCCCAAGTGTTGAGCTCTACGAGCCTGCTCGCATACTATCAAGTTTGCAGCCGATCCTAAGAGTGACAGATTTCCGGCCACCGTGCTCACCCACGCCAATATCAGCCACGCCTTCTTCTCACTTTCCGGGGATATTGCAGCCGCCGACGCCGCCACCCTTCCTCCTAACAGCAGCACTGTATTGGATCAATGGTAAATTGTTAATTGTTGCAAACTATTTGGACTTAATTTGATGAATATTTGAATTCGATTCACTTACAGTAGAGTTTAGCTCGAGTGATTCGAGTACTGAATCTAGCCAATTTTAATATTCAACAAACAATTTTGGAGCCTAATTGAGTTTTACTGTTTATATAATCGAGTAGTAATATTCATTTTTGTTATATATTTAGTTATAATATACGGAGTACTTATTATTACAATTACAATTTTGTGTAAAAAAAAAAATATTTATTTTATTATGTCTATTTGAGTGGAGTTTGAATAATTTGAGTTGAGTTTAAATAACCTAAAAAATTAGAGTTTGATCTAGTTTGAGTTAAAAAATTTTTTTTATTGATTTGATTATCGGGTTCGACTTGACTGGATTACACTCGTGGTCGGAGATTACATGACAGGCTAAGAAAAGAGGCAAGGATAAATAGAGATGTTATGAAAGTGCATAGTCTCACACACACCTGTAGGTACATTTGAAGCCAAATTTGAGAGGAACAGTATGACAGCAGCAAGAACTGCTACTCCACTAAGGTGATCTATTTTAGCATATGGCTCCATCATTTCCCACACAGCACTTGGAATTCCTGTTTTGTTAAACCCATCAATTGTGATAAACATGCCACAAAAGAATATCAGCAGGGAGTATGATATCTGTGGAATTCAACAAAAAACAATGAGAAGAGAATGTCAGATTTATGGCATTCTGCAGGGCTAACATGATTACAAAAACAAAAGATTGATAAAAACATAGGTTAGTTGGCTTGGTAACCACAATGTTATAAGTTCATCTCCTAGCGTGAGCAGCCTGTTGGCTGTTTGAGCTATGGACAAACTAGGCTGGTTTATCTCCTTGTTGTCCTTTGCCGACTAGGGTCACAAGGCAGGATACACCATCGGGGAATGGCTGCGGGTTTCACTCGTCACTCAAAACCATAAGGGTTGGGTTTATAGTTTACCTTCTCCAAACATGGCCTTGCATCCTTGAAATCAAGAACCACAAGAACAAGTGCTGCTGTGATTGCAGTCCATGACATGTTCAAACCCATTAGCAGAGAAATCAGCATTCCAATAGTAACAAGATAAATGCAGAGCTTCCATGTTGTCCTTTTCCAGGTTTTTGTTATGTTTCCTTTCTCCTCTTCTAAAGTGGAGTGTTCGGTTTCAGTTCCATTAACAAGTGAGCCTTTTTTCCAGGAAACATGCTCCACCGGTCTGTGTTCTGATCTGTCGCTTGATACATTTGAGACCCTGGAAGAATTAACCTTCTCAATCTCGCTTTCACTGAGACTGCCACGGTTCCTGAGAGTCTCAGAATAGTTCGCGTGGCCATTGGCATTTGGAGAGGCTGGTTCCAATGCAGAGGTCAGTTCCTGGGAGTTCATGGAATTGAGATGTGACATTGTTGCAGGCGAGAAATTATGTGAGGTTACATCTTCTTCTGTCACCACTTCTGCAGCTGCATCTTCTTCGTCTTTCTGAGCTGACAGCAGCTTCCAGTACATACACAGCAGGAGGAGAGCATTGATCAGAACCCCCACAATCATTGCAGGAAAAATCCCAAGCAGAAACCGTCCAAAAGATATCTTGCTCTGCATCGCTATCACCAGATTCTGGGGATTCCCAATTGGAGTTGCAGACGACCCGATGTTTGCACTCGAGGCAAGAGCTAGCAGGAATGGGTGAGGCGGCAGATTCTGTTGCCTCGCGATTTTCAGCACAAACTCTGTCAGCACCACACAAGACGTGTCGTTGGTGAATAGCGCACTGGAAATGGCAGAAATCAAGCAGATTCTGAACAGCAAATCCTTGGCTCCCTTGCTCTTCCAGGCCAGCAATTTCCCCAGATACTTAAACATGTCTGCTCTTTCAAGATACACACTCACAACCATTGTCCCAAACAGAAGCCCCAGAATATGAAGATCAATTGCAGCATAGGCTTGTTCGGGCGTCAAAACCCGAAAAAGAACCATAAGCATAGCCCCAAGAAGAGACCCTGCAGTCCTTCCAACCGGCATAAACGGAACAGCAGGAAAAACAGCCAACACCCAAAAGATTGCAAAGGCAATTGACCCAAGAACCACTTTCACAGGTGCGCCCATTGCCATTTTTCTCCCAACTCTTTTCCTCTACAACACTAATATTTCTCACTCCATCAAGAAAATCACTGTTTACACCTCTGAAACTGCAAAAAGATTGAATCTTTACTTGTTATTAGAACTATAATCAACAACTCCTAAACTAGGGTTGGCTTTATCATGTGAAGAACACAACATTTGACCATTTGAATCTCGTGTCCTCTCTCTCTCACACACATAATTTTAATGGCTGAAGATGATGCCACGGCCTCATCTAACACATGACAGCACAACCCAAACTCTTTCCAAAGAATAAATGGATCCAGACACCTCAATGCCTATAAAAGTTCAATCCTGAAAAATAAATGATTATGTACTTCTTCACAGCCTAAAATTAAATGCAGTCTTTTTCATTGTCCAATGCCTGTTAAACCCACTATAATATTAAAGACATACAATTTCAACAACTGTAATCTTAAAGACTTCAAGAGATGTTTCTTCAGTTCATGTTTTGAACTTTAAAAAATACAGTATCTAAACAGTTCTTCCATTTATTCTCACAAAATTTTTCTTAAAAAATGAAAAAGAAACCAAAAAAGTGGGGTAAAGGAACAAGCAATATAAACCCACCTGGTCCATAGAAGAAGCTACTTTTTTTGCATTTGAAACTCACCAAAAAAGTTGCAGATTCAACAAACAGTGTTGAATCTTTTTGCATGTGGCCTTTACTGTTTGTTCATTTGCGTAGCTTGTCTTCAGTATTTGGCACAAATAATTGTATATATATATACATATACACGTAAAAATATGTAAAAGAGAAAATTACAACTTGATTTGATTTACTTAGTTAAAGTCACATGTTGAACGGTGGTTGCCTTTGTCCTTTTGCCACAATATCTTAAAAAGATTATCTTTTAGCAATTAAATAAATATTTGTGGCGGCAGACAACACATCCTCGGAAGTACCCAAATGGACCAAACCACGTTGCGTGTGTTCTTGAAACATTATTGAGCTTTCGCTTGCAGTTTTTAAATCCTTCAATTATTGCTCCGTTTAGACTTTAGAGTGTGCTGCTGACATAACAACAACGTTAGCAGTCGCAATCTGACGGTGTTACAATATACTTAATATTGAATTATTGAGTTCTCTTGTAGTTTTAAAATCCTTGATTATTGCTCTGTTGATGGTTGCTTTGATTTTCAGGAAACCTCACAATCGTTACTTAAAAGTGTATTTTAGATATTCGTTGAGGGTGTGTGCCGACATAAAGATAATAATAATAATAGCAGTTGCAATCAGACGGTGTTACAATAAAATGAAGTATTTAACAATTTAGTTGATAGTTGCTTGTATTAGCGGATAACTTATAGTATAGTTGATTGTGTTAGTTGTTTTAATCGAGTAATATTAGCATTTTATAGGAAATTGTTTGGTAAATTAGTGATTTAGAGCATGTCACTTGTAAAATAACTTTAAGGGGTCGTTTGGTTCACGGAATGTTAAATTACTGGGAATGTTAGATTCCTGTGTTTGGTTTAAAACTAAGATATGTAAATAAGACAACGGTAATAAGATAAATTGATTAAAAAATACAAATCCCTACATTAGTAATAAGACAAGAGAATGTGAGATTCCCTTCCAATAGCTAAAAACTTAATGTGGAGGTTATCTGACCGAAAAGTTACATAACCTGAACCAAACATGAGAATCTTATATTACCAAGCAAATATAACCTGAACAAAACGCCCCCTAAAGGGTATGAATATATTATTTTATTGAGTTAATTTCATTTTTTTGTCATAGATTTATAAGTGACATTCTATTTTTAATCTTTTTTTTCATAACATTCCATGTTGATTATAGTATTATTGTGACATGATCATTTTTTGTACTTGTATATTAATCCAGATTCTCATTATAACTGATGGGGGGCCATGGAACACATCACACATCACGCATTAGTTAGAAGGCAAGCACATCCTAACCTAATAAAAGATTCAATTTTTACTAATAATAATTCATCAAGATTTATAAATTGTCACTAGTAACAAGAATCGAATTGGAATCATTATTAGTAAATGTAACCTATCTTTATCAACACACCCACTATTCTTGTTTTTTCTCCTAAAACTTTGACCAATATGAGCAGAGCACAAACATCCAATTCCATATATGTTCACAGTTAACTCCAATACCCAAATGGCAGGTTGGCCTTACCTGTACTGACTGAAACTAGACAATAGCATTCACTGAGAAAGTGGACCAATTGATGATACTCATTTTGCATTTCTGTGGACCTTTTCATCCAAACAAGTGCAGAATTGCAGATTTCCTTATCTATATGTACCCACCTACCTGTTTCTTCAATGCTTACCTAAGATGGCCACTTACAAAGGTGGACATTCTCTGGCCACTTGCTGGACTTCTAGGTCATAGTGTCATATTCTCAGAAATTAATATCCTGAGATGAGTTGAAACAGAGAGAAGGTAAGTTTTCAGGCAAGAATTCATGGTAAGTTTTGTGGAAGAAGAAAGCATGAAAAGAGCGATATAGAAATCATAATTTCATACTTCAAAGTAAAGCACAGTAACTTTAATGGGAAGAAATTCTATTACACTCTGATATTCACTCTGTAGGATAAAGAGTCATTCAATGATACAGATCATTACATATCTCAGCTCCTTTAACCTCCACCAATACTACTAGCTAGCCTAACAGCCCCAGAATGGGAAAAGGGGAAGAAGAGATGAAAAAGAAAGTTTTACAGTCTGCTAAAATGAATTTACAACTGTGTTTGGACATAATTTCGGGTGTACACATCAATAAGAACACTTAAGCCAACTTCCCAGTCAAATGATCACTAGAAACCAATTTCTGTTGCATGGTGAGAACCCATCACTATCTTCTCCGCTCAGAGCTAATTTGTTCAATCCAAGTATATATGATTATTCACAGGCTTGAAAAAAAAAAAAAAAAAAGGAACTTTGCCTCCGAAATTTCATTCCCATCTTATTCTTTTAGAAGTAGTGGATGCGATAATTACCTGCTCTTTTCTTTTGAGACTGATGAACGGTGGCCATAGTGTATTTTGTGTTAGCTGACTTTAGGCTGCAGCAATGGGAAGAAAGTCCAATTGTTCTGAAGAGCTGGTTCCTTCCCAGGAGCTTTGTCACTAGTCCACCACTCACAGTCAACACTGGACTTATCCAGGACTTCGGGTTTGACATTGTCGAAATCAAAGTCTTTGCTCAAATCCAGTGCAGTACTTGAGTGCTTTTGAGAGCTTTGGTCTCCTTCCTCTTTTAGAGCTTTACCACAAATGGCGTTTGCGCTTTCTTCAACAGAAGACTTGCTAGAGTGCTCGACTTCCTTTAACAAATCAGTTGGGTAAATGGTTTCTGCTGAAATGTCCTCTAGAGGTTCAGCTGTGGCATCATGCGACGTGACAGGAACCTTTTCACGACAACTTGGAATATCTTCCCCAGTCAATTCAAATGAAACTCTATGATGAATTGCAGTGTCATTGTCTAGAGACTCGTTGTCTGAATTGGCAAGTGATGCAACCTCTGAAATTTGGTTCTCCAGAATATAACTGTCTCGTGACAGAGGTTCTCCACCATTAGGAGTCATAGCCCCAGAACCAAGCCTTGAAAGGCCACCATTTGGAGTCTGAGTTCCAGAACCTAGTCTTGAACCCCAACCATTTGGTGTTAAAGATCCTGAACCCCACTTGCGAGTGGAGAAGTGCTCATAACCAAGATACTTTGGAGCTTCCCCTTTACGTAACTCAAGGATAGAGTACTTATCAGGGAAAGGTGTAGAGGTGCCAGAATATGAGACTGCTGAACCTGGTGATATTAAACGACTACCTGGGCTTCCGGGGCACTGGTAAGGCTGATAATCATACTGTGATAAAGGGAATTTGATGTTGGCCCCACTGTTTCTCCGGTTGCGGGCTAGTGATGAAGTCAAAAGCTGAGCAAATGGCACTTCCGGTGAAGGTGGTGTTGTCAGCTGTGCAGGTTCAGGAGGGGGAGTGAAACAAGCAGTGGATGGTTCAGTGGTGACAGCAGAAAATACGGGTGGTGTAACTAACTGAGTTTCATGAGCATAGGGACCAATAGCAAAACCTGAAGCAGTCACGCCTGGTGAAAATGCATTGATAGATAATGCAGTGAGAGAAAGTAATCCAGCTGGCGATTGGGTAGCAGAGGGAGGATCCGACTGGAGAAAAGATGCAGGGGAAGAGGGAGGAGCTATGAAGGGTAACACAATGGTAGTTTGATGACTTGGATTCCCAGAAACTGGAGCTGCAGCTACGGGTGCAATTGGTTCGGGAACAAGGACAGCATGACCAATTCGTTTAGTATTCTGCTTGTATGAACCAAAACACCAGTAAAGACTCCAGCAGCTTCCCCATCCTCTTTTCTGGAATAAAATACAATTTCTTAGTAAATAAAGGGTAAAAATATATAATTTCCGATCAATTTTGCAAGACAGTGAAGGACATAACATGTCAGTTCCAAATGGGACTCAAGACAGGAGGAAAATGTTGGTAAGAGAAAATAACCATGAACACATAGTTTCAATTTTAAAACAAAGATCAAATTTCATCCATTTACAAAGAACAAGTTGAAAACCATAACACGCACAATACTATAGGCAACTCTGTGACTCAGAAGTGTACCTATAATATTTACTATGGCCAAATCGGGTTTGAACCATATACATATGTCTGAAGACTTCAAGTAATAAGTAACATCTACTTACTGTTATATTGCATGCCAGAATATTAAAATTGCTAGTTAGGTCAAAGACTTCCAGGGAAGAACTTTGATCTGTTAACGAAGTTGAGCTACAATATTAAACTTTGAAAATTCATGCAGCCTCTCTCCTCTGATACAGATAATCTCAGAACTATAATCTGCCTCAAGCTTCTCTAACCGAGAACTTACTGACAAGATCCTGCTACAATATTAACTAGATCATACAATAAAACACCAACTGAACCATTCCTCTGGCAACTTTAATCAAGAATATCCAACATCCACTATGGATTTTCAGTATCATTTTCAAGAAGCTAAGGTGTGTTAGGGATTTATACTAGTGGTAGGCTTGAGCACCTTTCCACACTAAATAGTCAGGGTTCAGATCCCATCCCCACACTATCTCACCATTTGTCTTGCAGATAAAGTTAGTATCGAAAACCTTTTTGTTGAAGTAGCAGCATACTTTTTAAGCTTCCTCCCTCGAAGTCCAAACTCTATTCCTTTTCAATCTAAGAAGCATGCTGTTCAGTTTCAGCTGGAGGAGGACTAGGCATTTTGACAGCAATTATTACACACTTGCAATTACAATGGATAATGGCATGACCATCTCCCCAATCATGAAGTCAAAAAGGGGCATGGTCTTAATCAACCTTTCCTAACATTTTTTCAAGGCTAGTGTTAAAGAATTTCATCATAGCAACTATACTAAACTCCCTGATCCCCTAAATCTAAAACCACAAACCTTTTGTTCTAGATCTATCCTTTATCAACTTCTGCAGGAGATATAACTTTAAGCAACTGTATATGTGTTACCTACAGCAGTCTTCTTCCACAGTCAAAAAAGAACTGAATTGTACACTTTCAACAGTTCAAATTATCCTTTTCTGTCCTTGAAACTTCAAAAAGGCATTTAGTATACCAACACTCAATCTTTTGCTAGTTTTTACACAGCCTAAGTCAAATATAATCTTTTTCCCTTTTCATCCTACAGATGACTTTTTGTTTTTGTTTTTCAATTCCAGTTCCCTCTGTTGCTTTCCTGGAAAATAACTTCAGAAAGAGTTAAACACCCCAAATTCAAGGTCTATATATTCTCCATCTTAAATCCACTGATTCCATCCCACAACAAAATCAAATAAATCACAGAAGGATTCAACTATATGCTCAAATCTCACCACAACCAATACACAGATCCAACAAAATTCCATCAAATCACTTAAATTCCACAAAACGAAAACGCGAAAATCAATCAAATTATAAACGCAACAAAGCAAATCATGATTTTCACACATCACATACAAACTGGACACACACATACATACATGCATACATACAAAACCATGTCCACGCATGTATACGTATATGTATGTACCCGAACAGATGTTGGCTGAACTCTACTCTCGGCGGTAACTATGGCCGTGGCGGCAGCATTTACTGTTTCTACACTGTTAGGTACGCTACTCATGCCGATTCCTGGTACAGAGCGTTTCAAACTTTTCACGGTGACTCTTACACCGGCGAGACAGAACAAGAATTTCCCGGTGAATCCCCGCCGGAATTCAACCACGAGACATTCGCCAGGAAGCTGGAAAAGAGCAGACAGATGCAGAAACAAACGGCTTCTTATAAATGACCCAAAATATTTTGCAAATTATAACGTGAGCCCACCACTCTCCTCAAACTAATATTCTCATCATATTTTTAAATAAATTGTTTATTACATCTAACCTAATATTTCTAATCATATTCAAACTTTTACATTTATTATATTTTAGCAAAATATTTATATGGTTTAAAATCAATATGGAGTTTTGTTGGTTGACGAGAAAAAGTTATAGGGGTGTTGGTAAATAGTTGTTAGTTGATTGTGTTAGTGGGTTTGACTAGTTGATAACATTAGTTGATTATAGCTATAAAAATGTTTTGTAAATTAGTTGTTAGTTGATAGCAGATTACACCCAAAATAATTTTTTTAAAAAACTTATTAAAAAAGTTGGTTTGAGCAATTTTTTTTTTATTTTTATTTAAATTTTAGCATTTTGGAACAATAAGTTGTTACAAAAAAACTAATTAATCAAACACTCATATTACTTGTTTAATCAAATCAAACAGCTAATAGTGATCAAATAAGTTAAAATTGATTGATTAGCTAACTATATTACCAAACAAGGTCATAGTCACTATTTGAAAATGTGCATTAGATAAACTCTATTCATATGTAATAACCGCAAAGTACATTGAAAGATCTTGTGTGATGACTTCTATTAATAGAATATTTGTAATAATCAAACTTGTGACTTTTAGGTTAGAATAGATATTATTTTTACATATATATAGAATTATACAAGTCAAAATTCATTACGTTAATAGTTTGTACGAAAATTAATATACCCCTCTGAGTAATACTTGAAATAATTTACTGTACAACATTCTTGTACAAAGTATATATTTAGCAAAAGTGTACTTTTTATGTTACTAAAAAAAGATTAATGAAAATGACATAATCTCTCAAACATAAAATATCATCACTTAATAGCATCATACAATATAGAGAAACAATACTTTTTGCCCATAAATTATGTTACTTTACCTTCTAAATTAACTTAAAATTATCTTAATAGGGGTTTTTTTTTTTTCCTCAATTTTCTTGTCGAATTTAGGCAAGGTGACAAAGTGAGAAAGAGAATGTGTGAGTTGTTAAAGAAGGTGAATTTTTTGTAGGTCTCACTGGATATTTATTTTAAAAAAAAAAATAGTTGGTGCATGTGTCCGCTGGGCGCATCAATATGGACGTCAATTTAATTGCTTTTGCTTTTTATTTTTATTTTTCCCCCTTCTATCTCCTTTCTTTATTTTCTTGTTGGATCTTGGATATATATATATATATATATATATATATATATATATATATATATACACACACACACACAACTAAATTATAATGTTTTGAGCTTCAAAATCTCATGCAATTGGCATGAGTTTTGAAATCAAAATCGTTGATTTTGAGTTCAAACCTAAAGTTCTATTGTAATTTCTCCTATTATAAGGTGGTAATTTGCTTACGGTTATTTGAGATATTGTTGTAAATTATTAAAATGACATATTTATTAATTATAATGACAATATTCATTAAAAATTATGGGAAAAATGTTACTCCGTATAAATATGAAAATGGGTCATTTTAGGCTTTTAGCATAAATGAAAATGGGTAAAAGTAGTGATGATTTTGGTTTAGGAAAGTGATGGATGGTGTGGCCTTAAAGTCAAGGTGCGCACGTGCGCATAACCCATTTTTGTTGGGGTGAGGGATGGGCTTTCATCAGCCCCCTTGTGGAAGAAAGTGACTCCACTCTCTCCCCGTAATAATAATATCTCTTAACTATTCATTATTATCATTACTAAATTATTACTTATACTATTCACATACGAAGATGTTAAGTAGTGAAAAGTAAAAAAGTCCTTAGCCTTTTCCTCCCAAACTTTATGCATTGAGTTCATAAGCCCCTTTTATCAATCAAAACTTTTTATAACCCATTTTTCTCTCATATCCTTATTTGGATTAATACATGATGCATAGGTATTTTTCATACTATTACTATTACTATTATTATTGATACTTGTATATCATATATTATAAAATCTTGTTACAAATTAAATTTTTAGGTACGAAAAGCATGTTTTTACCACTCAGTTACCTCTTTTGAGATTTTTATTTTGTTGACAAGAAAAAAAAATGCAATCACTATCTGATGGTGTACATTGAGGAAAACCCTTCCTTATGCTCTAGCTGGTAAATGATCAGAATGGAGTAAATCACCTTAGATTGTATATAGCTGACCGATTCAAACTAAGTTAACAACCTAATCATAGGTGTGTTCATTCGGTTAATTATCGAACCAAATTGACTGAATTTTTAAATGCTTTAACTTTAACCGAACTGAATTTCATATTTATGAATTAACTAAACTGATTTTTATCAGTTAATCGACCGATTAACCAAAATATTTTAGTCCAATTTAAAAAAAAAAAATTAAAATTTGTAAATTTATAATTTCACACCACAAAACAGTCATCACACCATTACATAAATGATAAAATTTGTAAAATTAATCTAAAAGTATTACTTATGAATTATAAAAGATTAAAGCATATATATACACATGTAATTCGATTATCGATCAATTAATTTGGTTAATTGACACTTTCAAACTGAATTAACCGAAATTCTTAAAAAGGTTTAACCATTAAATGAATCACGGTTAAAAAATGATTAACTGAATTTTATCAGTTTGATTGGTTAATTGATTTTTCACTGAATTATGTATACCCCTACCCAATAACTTAACTGGGTTGTTTCTGAAACTAATTATTGTTATTATTATTATTATTAGAAGAAGAAGTGTGATTATTGTTGAGCAGAGTTCCGGAAGTCCTAATCGGCTAATCCTCCATCAACAAACTAATCAAGAGATTACACGGTAGATGTGGTGGGGTCCACCGATGACAACGACTGACGAAGACTTGAAGACTTGCCCGCCACCGTTGCCCGTTGGGGAGGCTCGTCTTCATTATTTTTTATTTTTTCTTTATGTTTTTTTATTTCCGTCAAAGCAGTGTGCTTATCATCAAAATATTTTTATTTATTTTTAATGCTACTGACTCTAATATATTGTAGTATCTGTTCAAACATATTTTCTCAATATAATAAAGCACATAGAGCCAATAACGTCTCTCCTGAGACCAGACCTCATAACTTTCCACATAAGAGATGTCACTACATGTCATCTGAGCACAAAGTGCTTGTCAAAAAAATATATTTTCTTTTAAAATTATTTTATTAACTTCTTTCTCTATCTCCGGGTTAGGATGGATGGGGGGTGTGGTGTGAGTGGGTCCCTCAACGCCAAACACATCACATGGCTCTAAGTAGCTGCTTTTTGGTCTCTAATTAAAAGGGCATCTATGATCTCCTCCTCAATCCTCATCCTACTCCTACAACACTCTCTCCATACAATTTGCTCTTTTTTTTTTCTTTTTTTTTTTTTTAATATCATCCGAAAATGTTATGTAAATCAAATTTAAAGTATGACAAGATAACATCATATATCATTTTTCAGAAAAGTATATAATAATTTTTTCATTTATAACTTATTTCGAATATGATAATAGATAACATATTCATTTATTATGGTCTTGATATGTCATTATTTTATTAAAATATCTCTTAGTAAAATGGATCGGTTCACGAATATTTTGTGGAACATAAATAATTTTCATCATTTTAGGTCTAGTAGATCATATTTTTTATGACGAAAGAAACTTTATTAACTATCCAAAAGTATATATTAGGTAAATCATACTCTTCTATAATAGCTTGCAAACCACACATGATAGATAAAACAAGTTAGGAGGACTAAGTAAAATAGCATTTGTTGGGGTGTAATTTACCATTAAGTGTTATATATATATATATATATATATATATATATATATATATATATATATTCATGTATAAATAATCCCTTAGGATCGTTGGATATTGGTGTTTGAGGGGTAGGATTGCAACGTGCAAACTAATCTCATATGTGATATGTCAATCGAAATGATCAATACAAAAAATTAATGATAAGAAGAAATAAAACTCGTAATATTTTTATAACTATGACGGTGTATTTGGAAGCATTTGATAATGTATATGCAAATAACTAATTGTGCATATACGTGATTGCACTATTATAGATTCCGAGTGTATTTTCAGTTATTCGGGAATGTACTATCAAACGTTTTTAAATGCACCGTCATAATTATAAAATATCACTGTATTTTTCTTTTCAATTTTATAATCCTAGATCAACATATGATATTAATCTACATGTACTTACAGAGTTACGGAGTACTAATTTTCACATGATCTGCCCCATAATATATGTGCTTTAAAAATGGATCTTATGGGTGATGGAAGGAGCAGATGGGTCATGGGTGGATCTGTGTTGGACAAGCAACGTGGAATGTTGAGAGTGGGGTGTGGATCTTGTCTTAAAAGCAAAGGCCTAGGGCCTTGACCTAAGGACCAACTTGTTAAGGCCCACTACTTGCAAATTCTTTTGCACCAAATTTTCAACGGCAAATTATGCTAGGCAAGGTGCGCACGGCGCTAAAACGGCGTCATTTTCACTGAAAATGTTCGAAACGCCGTTTTAACTATAAAAAAAAAATGTTCGAAACACCGTTAATGGCATATTCATTATGAAATTATGAATATACAGTTATGACATTATGAATGTACAGTTATAGAATTATGAATGTACATTTATGGAATTATGAACTTACAATTATGAACATAGAGTTTCGAAAATTATGAATGTTCGGTATGGAATTATGAATATATAGTATGGAATTATGAATGTACAGTTATGAAATTATGAATGTACAATTATAAAATTATGAATGTACAGTTATGAAATTATGAACATAGAACTCTGACATTATGAACTTACAATTATGAACATAGAGCTTCGAAAATAATGAATTTACAGTTATTGAATTATGAATGTACAATTACGGAATTATGAATGTACAGTTATGGAATTATGAATGTACAGTTATGAAATTATGAATGT